TTATAGCTGAAGAATTTGAGTCTTTATTCATCTAAAATTAAATAATGATTAACCTATTATATGCTTGGATAAATAACATTTTTTAATGAAAAATAACGGTTTCTTCCAAAACAAAAAATCGTTAGAATAATGTTATTGATTTACTTTTTTAGTGTGAATGTCTTGTGTCTGGCATAAGAGAGAACAGCTGGAGTCTCATATGTGTTTCTTCATTAAATCTTTTGCAACATACCATTTCAGATAGCATTTGTAACACTCCATTGTGTACTCATAAGAGAATGATTCTGAAAAAGGCAAATAACATCTTGGTATTATTAGGAAGATAGTTGTGACCTTGTTGATCCCCCGAAAGGGTCTTGAAGTCCTCCACACGTCCCCAGACCACACTTTAAGATCACTTATCTTGGGCAAGATTTGCCTCCAGTATGCTAAGGCTTGACTCTTCTGGGATCTCAAATGAATATGCTAGATATTTGAAGAGGTATCCGTACTCTGCACTTTGTTTGTTGGGAACTCTAGTGATTCCCTACCCTTTGTGACCTCTGGGAATTGTTTAGCTTACTGCTTCCCAGTAATTGTTCCTTTCCCAGCAACTGCTGTTCTTTGCTTGTCTTTGTAGTTTCACCCTCTGCATGTACAGCACACTCTGTGCAGACTTCTGGAGTTTTTCCGCGGGATAACTCCTTCCTCAACTTAGTGAGACTGAAAGATTCTCTTAGGCTGTGCCCTCCCTGCATTGCAGTCTAGAGATTGCCTTCAGTCAGAAAGCGCAGTTGTTCATAGGGCTCACCTCATTCATATCCATTCTCACAGGATTCTTAGTGGTGCCTGCAGATTGTTGTTTCATATGTGTTGTCAGCATTTAGTTGTCTATGGTGGGGGGAGGGGCAAGTCCTGTAGCAGTTATTTCTTCGTGTGCAGACATCTCTGATTGTTTGTTTCTTTGGGTTTTGTTTTTAACCATATCTGCTGAAACAATTACATTGAGGTCTTATATGTCCTCTTAAAACATATTTGTTGTCTTAGCCTTCAGTAAAAACTTTCATTTTAGTATTCTGTTCATGTTGATGAAAAATAACTTTTACACAAAGGGGACATTTTCCACCATTGTATGAGGAACAAAGAAGAATGTAGTCGTTTATTATATATGTAAGCCATTTATTTGCCTTTTGTTTTAGGCAAGTATGTGGGCTCTTTATGTCTCAGCCTCTTAGTAAAAATGTATCTAGCATGTTAACAGGAAATGATAAACAGAATATTATAACTATTTTGTTTTTTAGTTTTAAGTCTTGTACCTCAGGAGTTAGTAGCTACTCTTACATACCGTAGTCATACAGACATAGATTCAAATTCTGGCTCTGTGCTTTACTAGATATGTAAATGAGACTGTTTGCTTACCCTGAATCTGAGCCTCTGTTTCCTTATCTGTAATGTGGGCATGATAATGCTATATTAAATAGGAATGAGAACTTTTGGTAACAGAGCTGCTGCTGCTTTTTTTTTTTTTTTTTTTTGGTAATAGAGCATCTAATAACAGTGCTTTAAACAAGGTGGAAACTTATTTTCTCTTTCTCTTCATATAAGAAGAACCTGGCAATTCAGGAGTGGTATGACAGCCCCACAGTGTATGTATTGTGGACCTAGATTCCTTCTCTTTCCATTCTACCATTCTTAGCTCAGGAGTTGTATCCTCAAGGTCACCTCATAAGTCAAGGTACCTACTGGAATTCTACCTCTCATGTTCATATCCCAGGCAGCAGAAAGGAGTGGGGGGGGGGAGGTAAAAGGGGTATATCTTCCTTTAAATAAATGTTACAAAATACGGTCATTTGATTCAAATCTTACTGGCCATAACTTAGTCATGGGGTCATATCTAGCTTTAAGGGAAGGTAGGGAATATAGTCTTTTAGCAGGATGCTATGAAGAAGGAAGGCAAAGGGGCTGTTAGATTGGCATCCAGGAGCATCTGTCACTATTGTCTTCTCTTGCAATTTCATGGGTTCCCAGTGAGTTGAGAAATTATCCAGGAGTCAGCCGGTGGAGACCAAAATATCACCCTTGTAAAACTGACAAAGCTGATTCTTGAGAAAGGGGCTTACATCTGCAGTTAAGTGTGTTTCCTAATATTGAACCCTAGCATTAAACAGACTTGTCCATCCAGTCCATGAAAGTGCTAGGCCAGGTAGAGCCTGTCCCTATTAAATTTGTGGCATGAAGGAACAAAGTCAATGTGTGTGTCCTGTCAGCAGCTCTTTCTCAGCATAAAGGGAGGGTGGGTGAGGACTAGAGAGGCTGGGAGTGTTACTTACATCATCAGAAATGGGAAAGTGTTACCCTCTCCCTTCTCCCTTCCTACGATGCTTTATCCTAAGAGTTTAACATGATGTTTGGCACTGAATAAGCATTCAGTATATGGTGCTTATTATTATAATGATGATTTGAGCAATTTGAGTAGCCACCATGATGTCTCAGAATCTATGCATTTAATCTTCCCACATATGTTGCTATTTGACATGTAGCATGGTTTCTATGCAGTATTATTTTTTTTTACTTCACCATGAGATAAAATTGGTAAATAGTTTTAAAAGGCTGTATAGGTACTTTTAGACTAACAGTTTTTAAACTTTTGGTGAGGTCACCGTTTCATTTGCAAATGTAATGAAATTATGTAGATAGCATAAATTATACATATGCTTTCTGGGAATACATGGATCTGAAGAATTTATGGCAGATAAAATTTAATGAACTACAAATACCTCCATATTACTGTAAACTGGTATCAATGACTGTTGAATAAGTACAGTAAATTAACAGGAAGGTGAGAGTGGTTAAGATCATGTGAGGCAGATGGACAGACACATGTTTCAACTCTAACTGTGCCCACCTACTAGTTATTATTAACCCGGGTGTTACTGTTTTTCTTGTTTTAAATCAGTAAAATGAAGGTGATAATAGCTTCAATATCCACGGGAGAGGAGTAAATGAAATAATACATATAAAGCCTTACTTCTGGGCCAGAGTATCCACTTGCTCTTTTCTACTGTTGCTGTTGTTTTTATAGTCATTATTGTTGTTACCCTTCTTTGCCTTTCTGACCTCACCTTGATTATCTTGCAGGTTTCAGTGACTAAGTTATCTTGAATTACATAACTTGGAGATAGAATTATTCTGAGCAAACAGCTTGGTCCTTTAGATCTGTTTTTGTTTAAAAAAGAAAAGCAAAAGTCCTCAAGAGTAATCTTCATGATCTTTGATCTCTCCATAATAAGAAAGAACTTTCACAGCCTGCTTCTGGCTCATCAGGGAAACGGTCTTTTGTGTGCCCTTCAAAATTTCCCCTTCTTCCCTTGCTTCCTCTCATGTCTCCTTCCTGGCCCACCAGAAGGAGAAAGATGTCAGTTTGATACCTCTGGCCTCTTCTGAAAACCTGGTAATGGCATTTATCCTGTCAGCAGTTCCTGGGTATTTAGTGTTTTACGTCTTGATCTGTCTTTATTATTTGAGGAAAAGTCCTTAACTTTCCCCATTCCTTTCTGATGAACAGCTTGGGCTATAGAAGTTTGGTCCCCTCACTAAGAGCTACAGATCCCCTGCTGTTTTTATAGGTTGACTTTTGACACAGGCTACTTCTGTTCAAGGAGCTCATTGTTACTAAGTTAGTGCCAGTTTATACCAGAACTTAACTTTTAAAGCACATTTAAATAGACTTCTTAATGGTTTTTTTTGGTTGATGTTTAAAATTGTCTAGTGGTTTTTTTTTTTTTTTTCCAAATGACCCAAATAGCACATGCTCAATGTAAAAAAATATTCAGAAAATATATAAATCATGAAGAAAGCTCTCCCATAGTTCTCCATAGACTCCACCAAACTAGTCACTTCTACTTTTTTTATATGATTCTATCTCTATCTATATGTATGTATATAGATATATATATAATATATATCTATACATACATATAGTTTTATATGCCTTTAAAGTTTTTTTTCTTTTCCCCCAAATGAGATTCTTCTATATATAGTTTTGTATTCTGCTTTTTTCCCTAACCTATTATGTGTGTGATTGTTTTAAATAGTTGTATAGGATTTCATAGAATAGATATAATTTACTTAGCTAATTCCCTATTGAGATGGATATTTAGGTTGTTTATGATTTTTTAGTGATTTAACCCAGGATGGTAAACATTTTTCTGCATCCATTTTTGAGTAGTTGTGGTTTTTTTTTTTTTTTTTAGTGCATTCTTAGAAGTTTAATTCATGTGTCAAAGGCTTTGTACCTACTAACTGGTTATGAAAGTAACTTTTTCTAATCAAATTTGGGTATTATCAATCATTTTAATATTTTTCAGTGTGATAACAAAACTAACGTCTGAGTGTTTTAATTTCTGTTTCTTTGATTATTAGAGATTAAACATTTTTGTGGTTTTTGGCCACTTGCATTTTTTCTGAGATTAATTTTGTGTTATGTAGTCTTGCTAATCTTCCTAAGATATGTATATTTTAAAAATGGCAGAATTTTATTTCTTGTTTTAAGAGATTATATTTTAAAATTATAGTATTATATATGCTACAAATATATATTATAAAATTATATTACAAGTGATTTTGTTTTTGCTGGACTTAATTACTTAGCTAATTATTTTCAAGTATTGACATAGGAAATTAAGTAATTAGTAAAGAAAACCAAGCTTGTTAGAATAATTTATTTACCTAAAATACAAATGAATTTGACTGAAATTCTTAATGCTTATTTGCACTTTAAGGTACCTATTTTGGTTTAACTTTTTAATTTGCTCACATCTGGTTCTTGACCATGTTCTAGATAAGAGATGCCTGTATAAATGTGTATCTGTATTTTTACTTGTTCATTTTCATCATTGTTAAAATGAAAGGAATTGGAGATTGTTGATTGAAGTACTCATTTTAGCAAACTATGATCAGAAGATGCTTGGATATGATCCTTCCACATGATAAAGAGCATGTTTTTATTTTATTGCTTTTAGAAGAAAAACAACAGTGAAGACATTATGTATTTATGCGGACTACAAATCTGATGAAAGCTATACTCCAAGCAAGATTTCAGTCAGAGTAGGAAATAATTTTCACAATCTTCAAGAAATTCGGGTATGTCTTTCAAATTTTAAAAAATATGTTATCTTGTTACTCTTGCTCTTTAGAAAATAGTGACATTTGACACTAGATTAGACAGATTAAAATGTTAATACATAAAAGGAAAATTATTAATATTTAAGAAAACACTTTTAATTTTTTATATTTAAAAAATTTTTTGAATTCCGATTGTCATCTTAGTTTTTTTCCAGTGTTTTATTATGGAAATTTTCAGACATACAGAAAAGCTGAATTGTATAGTGAGCCCCAGTATACTCACCTCCTAGATTCTATAGTTATTAATGTTTTGCTATATTTGATTTATTATCTGTCCATCAATTCATCTAATTTTTATACTCATTTCAAAATAACTTGCAGATATTTGTACCTACCACCCCAAATACTTCAGCATAACATATGATAACTGGAGTTACGAATATTTGCTTCAGGTTTATTTTTTAAGGTACAACTTATATGCAGTTTCCACAAATCTTAAATATATTATTTGTGAATTTTCACAAATGCAAACATATGTGTAACCCCGACTCCTATTAACATATAGAACATTTTCATTACCCTGTAAAATTCCCTTATATCCCTTCCCAATCAATCTCCATGTCTGTCCTACTCTCAGAGGTAAGTGTTGTTCTAATTTTGTTTGCTTATTCATTCATCCATCTATTCATTCATTCATTCATTCATTCATTCATTCTATAGATCAGTTTTGCCTGTTCTAGCATGTCATATAAAGGAATCACAGATGGTGTAATTTGTTGTAAGGCTTCTTTCATTCAGTCTAATTTTTTGACAATCCATCCCTGTTGTTGCATGTAGCAGTACTTCATTTTTTCCATTCCTGAGTTATACTCCATTGTTTGAATATACCCCAATTTATTTATCTGCTGTATAACTTTTTGAAGCTATTAGGATAATGCTTTTGTGACCTGAATGTTATTAGTCCCCAAATATTTACATTTCAGAGATACTTTCAATGAGTTTGAACTTTGTACTTGTAAAGTTCTGGCCCTTCACATTTTTTCTTGTCAGAAAGTCATTGAGCTCAAATAATCATTAAAATCTTTTCAATTAGGTGATTCTGAGAGATCTGAGAAGCACCTGTGATTTTTGAAAGACTTCCAGCCAATTTGTGGCCTAGACTCTTATTTGACTTAGTGTTTATAAGACCCTGTCTCTACATTTATATTTCTTCCCTGAGTTAGTAATAAAATACTTAATAAGAATCACATATACTTTCATTATTTACTCATTAAATGCAGTGTTACTTCCTTGTGAAATTTGTTTATGTGTTGGCAAATAAGAATAAGTAAGGACATTGTCACCCACAGGTGTTTTGTTTTTTTGTTTTGCTTTTTCATCCTTTGAGGTAAGTTTGCAACTTTTTTGAGATGACCACCTGGTCTTATTCTAGTTATCTTCCTTTAATTTTAAGGGATGATCCTATACATTTTCTTGACTACTAATTTGTCTTTGAAAAATCATCCTAAGATATTCTTCTTTTAGTTTAAAAATATTTATTTTGTGTGGCCATACTGGTTAATATGTACTTTCCATGCTTGAAGAAATTCATAGATTAGTTCTTCATTTTCTTTGTAAGTTTCTTCGTTTAACCCAGTGCTTTTTTCATTCAGAATATTTTAGATTCTTTTTATTATCATAATTACATTGAGCCTTTTGCTAGCTCTTTTAGTCATATGATACATTTAATCAGTGTTTAATGCTTTAAGGACTTGAGATATTCTTATACTTTGTTAAACATTTTGTATTTATCACACGATTGGGTTACTCACAGTGAGCAGCCTTTTGGGAGCAGAGCTGGCTTGTTTGGTTTAAAATTAAAGGTTTATCATATAATCCCTCAAGCAGGTTGAATTATGTGACACTGAAAATAAAGTTTTGATCCAGGATGTGTGTGGCATATATTTGAAATGTCCACTAGATGTCACTGTTGTCCTTTAATTGCTAGTCTCATAATCTAGTTAATAAGACCTTAAGTAGTTAGTCTTCGTTGTAACTCGTTTTTCTCAGAGTATATATATTCAAATATTCTTTGATGCATTTTGGGAAATGTACATATTCATACGTGATTTCTAGGTTTATGTACTAAATATATATTTTGTATTCTTTTGTAAATGGGACAAACTTGGAATGATATTTGAACCATTTCAGAATACTTTTAATCTAGTTTTTGCTTCTATTATATCATTTAAGTACTGAAACATTAGCCACATAGAATAAGGGCTCTTTTAGGTAGTCTCTTATATTTTATTCTAAGTATGTTTATATTTCTGTGTAGTGACCACATAGCCTCACGAGACCAGTAATACTAAATATTACCAGGTGATAATGTAAGTTGTTTTCCTGAAAAACTTAATGAACATACTGCTTTTCTGCCACAGTTCTCACTAAGGAACCATAATTTTTGGATTTTGCTTTAAAATATTAGTGCCGCCTTTGCAGCTCATGATATAAAGTATACTTTATCTTTTAATTATACATCTTTTTACGTGATTTATTCTGTTTACCTTTTTTCCATTAAAGAAATAATCTGATATCATTTTGTTTTTTAAGGGAAGATAAGCAGATCATGCTTTTATTTTCTTACATTACTACTGTATAGGATATAAATTGTTATTTTTTAAAAAATCTTCTAACTCAGATACTAAGACAAATGATTAAAATAGTGTTAACTTTTATGAGGTTTTTAGAGCCATCATTTCATTAGTTATAGGACTGATTTAACTGAGTGGAAAATCCAACTAAATCTTTTTATATTTTTCCATGGAGGGTTGCCCACGGGAGGGTGTAGTGTGTATTGGAGTGTTTAATGGGTTTTCCTTTTTACTAGAAATTATGGATTTGTTTACTTGAAACACTCTAAAAACCTATTTTCTGTCATTTTATTATTGATTTGAGTTGATAACCTTACAAAAATTTAGTTCAGGACAAGAAAAGCTAATGGCTACCCCCTGTCTATCAAAAAATTATTATTATTATTATTTTTTAAAGATTTTATTTGTTTATTTGACAGAGAGAGACACAGTGAGAGCAGGAACACAAGCAGGGGAGAGGGAGAAGCAGCTGAGCAGGGAGCCTGATGCGGGGTTCGATCCCAGGACCCTGGGATCATGACCCGAGCCGAAGGCAGACGCTTAACGACTGAGCCACCCAGGCGCCCCAAAAAATTATTCTTTTTTTTTTTTTTTGATTTTATTTATTTATTTGAGAGAGAGAGAATGAGAGAGAGCACATGAGAGGGGGGAGGGTCGGAGGGAGAAGCAGACTCCCTGCAGAGCAGGGAGCCCCATGCGGGACTCGATCCAGGGACTCCAGGATCATGACTTGAGCCGAAGGCAGTCGCTTAACCAACTGAGCCACCCAGGCGCCCCCAAAATTATTCTTTTTCTGTCATCTGTTTTCCTTCATTTCAGTTATAAAACACACTATTCTATCTTGATCTTTGTAACCTCTGTTGAAAAATCTCTAAGAAGAGATCAGGCCTTCCCTTTACTCTTCTGGAATGCATATTTCAACCTCTATACCTGAGGAGGGACTTACAATGGAAATAAAGTTTAGACTTTCTGCTTATATTATACTTACAAGATACTCAAACTAGGTTTGGTTGAATAGAATGCTTTTGATGCCAGAACTTCTCTTGAATAACTTCCTTGATAACATGATGAATTCATTTATGCCACTTATTCTACTTTTTTGTTTTTAAAATTGTCCACCCTACAGATACTGGGAACCAACAACCTAAGAACATTTCATGAGATGCTTGTGATTTATTGCTTCTACACAAACTACTTTTTCTTTTTAATTTTTTTATTTTTTACACAAACTACTTCTGTGTAGAAGTGAGGACTTAGCATTTCAGAGTCTTTATGGCTTTATCTACTCAGAACACTTCATCTTGGGCACCTGGGTGGCTCAGTTGGTTGAGCGACTGCCTTCGGCTCAGGTCATGATCCTGGAGTCCCAGGATCGAGTCCCACATCGGGCTCCCTGCTCAGCAGGGAGTCTGCTTCTCCCCCTGACCCTTCCCCCCTCTCATGCTCTCTCTCTCTATCTCATTCTCTCTCTCAAATAAATAAATAAAATCTTTAAAAAAAAAAAACACTTCATCTCAGTTGTGTTACTTTTGTGCAGGAAGTCATGTTCATCATATTATTGAGGAAGTTATTCAACAGAAGTTTTCAAATAAAGATAAATGCTTTTAAAATTTTTATTTATCTATCTACCTGTTTAGTTATGTTTATTTTTTTCAAGTAGGCTCCATGCCCGGTGTGGGGCTTGAACTCACGACCTGGAGATTGAGAGTCCCGAGCTCTATGGACTGAGTCAGTCAGGCCCCCCACTTTTAAAATTTTTAAATCATTTGCCTTTTAGCATTATGTTTTGGTTTAATGCTGTTTTTTTTCCTTTGCCCTCAGAAGGAAAAATATGTGCGAAGGAAATGTTTTGTCATTTAGTGTGAGAAACCAAAGAATAGTCTGTCTTAGATGTAACCATTTTAACATCGTAGAAAACATCTCCAGCTAAAATTCAAAATTCAAGAAAACTTAAAGTCCTCTTCAGTTTGCCAACTAGTTATTTACCTCTTTAAAAACGATTATAGAAATTTTTGTACTTAAATATGAAACTAAAGTGATTTATTAGACGTAGAATGACAGCTCTCAAAATTATTTCTATACAGTTCTTTAAAAAACAACTTGTTAACTGAAGGTTAAATAGATATTTTCAGCATATGTGAAAGTTGTCCTTTGATTCATTGTTAGCATTTTGCTTCGAAAATTTGTGACTGCAAAAGGATAGAATATTAATGGAGCACAAGATTGTGCACTTAAGTGAATTTTAAGCTTTTTGTCTTCAGATAATAGAGCTGTTACCAAAAGATTTTTTTTTTTAAGAGGAAGCTTGAAACAAGTCTTCAGTGTTAAGAGAGCTGTAATGATATTTTTCTTTTCTTCCATGTGGGTGAGCCTTTTGGCTCTCTT